TTTTTTTGTGCAGAGGCGACGTTTACCAAGAACTTGTCGAAGGAGAAGGAGAAGAGCCTCCCGAAGTCCTTGTTTATGGGAAAATTTAATTTAACCGAAGAAGCCTTCGCTCGTGGCTTGATGGACAACGACTTCCGGAAGATCAAAAAACGTGATGGCCGAGTCGAATATGCATGGGGCACATCCGAGCATGCCACGATCCGTGGCAAGGAGACGACATCGAGCTATGAATCCAAAAGTGCCGGACAAAGTGGTGACATCGCCAAGTTCCAGAAAACAAGCCAGACGTGGAAGATAGGCTTGTTCCAGAAGGCGAATGAAGGCGATGATGGAGATGCGGAGTTCCATGAGGCTCCCAGGATGGCGATTGAGGATGACCCGAACCTTCAGGCCTTGACTAAGAAGCAGTGGGAGACAGCGAAGAGCCAGATCTCACATGCCATCGCGGCCGTCAAGAAGATTGGTTCGGATGCCCGGAAGATTTTGGACAAGGTCGATGAAACAGATGAGATGTATGTCAGAATGTGTCTTGTCTCCGTTCAAGCCACATAGACTCGTTTTTCATGCGGAAGCAAAACAAGCCTTGATCCCCAAAAGGCCCTTATAAAACTTTACAATTGTGGCAAAACAAACACCAGGCCTATGTAGAACCCTTTGATCACCAAAATCCAAAAATCCCTTTACTTCCAAACCCGAGAGCCCTATACATTCCTTTGCTTCACACAACACCCACACGACCCGAACCTTGTACAACTTATATATATATATATAATCTCAAAGCCCAAGCCTCGGTCTGCCCCTAAAAACAACAAGCTCTTATACAGCACAACAGCACAGGAAGGCTATCATCACCCGAGTCAATGGCCTGAAGATCCAGCTTGACTACGTCCTGGAATGGAAGGACAGCAGCACGGCATGCCAAACGATGTTTACACATGTAAATCTGTGTATATAATACCAAAATAACTGCAGGGTGTTTTGCATAAGGTATCTGGTTGATTTTCTTGAGGCTTTCTATGTGGCTTGAAAATGTGTGTGGGGCTTTAGGGGTTTGGGGTTTTAGGGGTTTTAGGGGTTTGGGGCTTTAGGGGTTTAGATTGGGGGTTTACGGGTTTTGGGGCTTTATAGGGGTTTGGGGGTTTAGGGTTTTGTGAAGGAGATCCAGAATGAGGGCCCCCTGACCGTCCAGACGTACTCCGATCTCATGCGAAAGACGGCAGCCACAGCAGAAAGCCTCGAAGAGGAGTTCGCAGGCTTGAGGGCACAACAGATGGTCCGATCTCAGCGACAAGCCTAGACACGATCTACGATCTCGGTACATGCTTGATTTTCTTCGTCTTCGCAGACCCTGTGGATGGTATTTCGAAGCCTTTGGACCTGTGCGAGTCGACCCTAGAAAAACATTCCAGCTACTTGTGGATTAAAGCTTGAGAGTTTTGTTTACTTTTGATGAACAACATGTGGGTGAAATCCTGTGCATGCTCTCTGAGTTTTACATGTGTATTCCTGTGTGTTCTCATCCTCACGTAAGAAAAAGACGTTGGAGCAATACTAAAATTGCACAAAGGTCTTTGGGGGTTCAGGGTTTAGGTGTTGAAAAAAATATAAATATAAATATAAATATATATATATATATATAATGGCCAGCTGTGTAGACACACAGTGTGCGATTTGCATGTGGGGGGGGGCCTGTGTCTCTGAGCAGGTCTTTCTGCCGTTCGCGATTTTCGATCTTCCCAGCAATGTGTTGTGCGAACATCCTATGTATATCTATCTATCTATCCATCCATCCATCTATCTATCTATTTATCTATCGATCTGTCTATCTATCTATCTATCTATCTATCTATTTATCTATTTATCTATCGATCGAGCGATCTATCTATCTATCTATCTATCTATAGATGAAGTGGTTCTTCTGAAAATCCTAAGTTTAGTTTCCGCATATAGACCTCATGCAAAATAGAACCTCGTTATGTGCTCGTGCTCGTTGTGTGAGGCTTTATAGGGTTTTTTTGTTTTGCTTCCATCCTCTATGTAGCTGTTTGGGCACCATGGAGGATGGAATGCCAGCTCCCAAGAGAAGGAAGGGGGGTATTCAGCAGAGGCGGGCTGCTGATCGTGACGAAACGACAGGCCAAAGTGCTTTGCATGAGCTCCTCATGACCTATCTGGCCCAGGGCATTTTGTCGGCTTCGATGTGCTGGAATATTTCAAGGGCAGCAGCAGAAGACGTGAAACGAGCCGGCGATGGCATTTCGTTTCCGGATTTGGAGCATTTGGCAAGCTTCAAATCAGCGAAGAACGTGCAGAGGGGCATCGATGGGTTGTTAGCTAAGCAAGCTTCTTGGCCGATGCCCACGGAGGTGGACATTCCTATGCAAGGGACAAATGCCAACAAGGCATCCTCCTATGTCATGCTTCCACACGAAACGTTTGTTGCCCTTTACAATAGCACTAAAGGCTGGGCCTCATCGATCTTGCCGGATCCTTCGAAGCTGACTGCCTTCTGGGACACGTTTTCCGGACACCCATCGATGATGGACCATCCTATATCGAAAAGGGGGGACCGGGACCATGCAATCCCCTTCAGCCTCCACGGCGACGAGGTGCCGATAACGGGTATCGGCAAGATCTGGAGCAGGGCTGCCCTCTGTTTCTCCATGAGCAGTCTCATGGCAGTTGCAGGAGGCAGGAGTGCTGCGGAATCCAGCCTCTACATATGGGGCGTTTTCGAAAAGTTCATACTCCCCACAGACGGTGTGATTCTGGGTACCATGGATACTTTTTGGATGTTGATGAAGTGGTCATTTGAAATCCTCATGTCCGGAAAATGGCCTTCAAAGAACTGGAAAGGCGAAAAGATCCATGGCTTTAGTATTTACATTATGTGGTTGTATAGAAATCATTCTTTCTTGGGTTTAGGAAGTATAAGATCACAGGGTACTGAAGGGTTTGTATATATATATATATGTATAGGGTTTAAGGTTCATATATACATATATAGGGCAACAAAAAGTGTGAGTATACTTTATAGTGTTAAAGATATGGTATTACATGGAACTATGCATAATATTCAGATATGTATATATATATATATACATAGTGATCATATAGCACTATTCCTATTTAGTATTATATATGTTCATTTTTTAGTTTGTGTATATATATATATGTGTCACAATGCAAGGTACAAGCCGGGCACTCCAGAGTTTCGGCGAGCAGGTTCCTTTCTTTGCGATGGCTACTACGGTGTGCTGGTGCAAGCTGCCGGGGATTTAGACTATTACTGCAAATGGCTTGGTTGTCCCAACTACGGTAGCCATGCAAAGTGTTGCCCGCTGTGCCGGTGCACTTACAAAGGACAAACCTCCTGGCTGGACAACCGCAAAGAGTCCAAATGGCAGAAAACCCTGGTAACAGTCAAAAACTGGAGGACACACTGGGACCCAAGCTGCCTTCTGTTTGGACTGGGTGGCTTCACCTCTTTATGCATTGCCATGGATTTCATGCATTGTATGCATCTAGGGTGGATGCAGTTTTTCTTCGCCAGTGCTTTACTTTTGCTTATGGAAGACTGTTTGGAAGGCACTGATGTGGAAAAACTCCGGCAAATCCAGCAGTACATCTATCATTTCCAAAAGGAGACAAACACCAGATACCGCTTCAAGCAGAAGCTCCTGAAAATGACCATGGTGAAACCCAAAAAGGGCTTTCCTAAATTGCGAGGACGTGCTGCAGACATCCACAGCCTTGCCGGTGCGATTGAAAGCTTGTTCGCCCATCACATGGATGAAGCAGATCCAAACCATGGTCGCATCAAATTGGTGCTGAGCTTGAACAGGGAACTGTCAGACTTGCTAGACGAGTATGGCCCAAGATACGGCTTCACAGCTCTTCCTGACCAGCAGGCGAAGCGAGCCTACAGCATCGGGCTAGAAATGGCTCAAGTGCACGTGCACTTGCAATCTCTTTACGAAGAGGAAGGTCGTAAGCTTTTCAACATCACGACCAAGACACATTTTGTGTTACACAGTCTGCACCTCAGTGGTTTCATACATCCTCACCTTGTGTGGTGTTATAAAGGAGAGGCCACAATGCACAGGCTTCAGACTCTGTGGAAGTCTTGCCTTCCCGGTGTGAAACACTGGCAAGTTGCCAAAAAGGCAGCTTTGAAAGAAAGGCATTTGCTGTGGATGCGGTGCAACAAAGCCTGACCCCGTGCACGGTGCAAAAAAAAGCAGTCTGCTGGTGCACAAAAGCCCCCACACACAGTTTTGCATGTGGCCCCAGACCAAAACATGAACCCACACAAAAGTAATCTCAGGTCAACGCACCACAGGAATTTACTGCACCATGCAACTTCTAACTACAACATTCTGTGAAGCACAAAACATTTATCACACATGTAATCGCAGGTAAAACTCACTTCGATGTAAGACGATTTCTATTGTGCAGATACAAAAAAGCATAGCTTTCTCACATGTAAAATCGCATGCAAATCAACTTGGCTCACAAAAAGCCGCACGAAAAACACCCACTGTGACAAGATTTACCTATGCATTGTTTCTGCTGTGTCCTGTTTTCCTTGTGCAATCCTTATGCTTTGTTTGTGCTGTTTCGTGATTTTCCTGTGCATTCCCTATGTAAACTTGTGCTGTTTGGCCGTTCTCGTGTTTTTTACTTTAGGGCAAAATTTAGGTATTTTGTAACCTAAATTTTTAACTCAGGGTAAATCCAGCCATTTCGTAAAAACAGGGAATCTGGAGACTCAGGGCA